GGTTCTGCCAAAATGTCTTGAGAACATGTCAAGCATAAGGGCCCACAGCTGTAGTCCCTAGAATACAACCGTTTGGGAGGTAGAGGCAAGAGGACTGTGAATTCCAGATCTGTCTGGACTAAATAGTAAGTTCCAGGCCAGCCTGAGGTAAGTTTGTGAGATTCTGTCTCAATAACAAAACAGCTTGACTTCTTTCTGAGCTTGGAGATTTTTGCTGCTGACAAGACAGGTTACATGTACATGTACTGTTAGGTGCTGAGAGAGGATTATAATTGAAAAGCTTCTTCTTTTCTTCTTCTTCTTCTTCTTCTTCTTCTTCTTCTTCTTCTTCTTCTTCTTCTTCTTCTTCTTCTTCTTCTTCTTCTTCTTCTTCTTCTCCTCCTCCTCCTCCTCCTCCTCCTCCTCCTCCTTCTTCCTCTTCTTTGTTGTCATTGTCATCTTCTTCCTCTTCCTGCTTTTTCTCCTCCCCCTCTTCCTCTTCCTATTCCTTCTCTGTATTGTCCTGGCTGTCCTGAAACTCACTTTGTAGATCATGCTGGCCCCAAACTCACAGAGATCCACCTGTCTCTACCTTCCAAGTGCTGGGATTAAAAGCATGCACCGTCACTGCCCAACTTAAGCTTTTTATTTTCATATAGATATGTAACTATTAAGAACTGAAGACAAAGCTTCCAAACTGACTTCACAATGTGTGTGTATATGTATGTATGTATTGTGTGTGCTTATGCGTGTTCATGTATATGTGTGTATGCATGTGCATGTATGTATGCACTGTATGTGTGTGCATGTGTGCATGTGCATGTATGTATATGTGTGTGACACACTGGTAGTAATGCTATACAGGGGATTGGGAAAATGGCTTGATTGCTGAAGTTTCTTTTACCCAAGCATGAGGACCCAAGTTCATATCCTCAGCAGGGTTAGATTTGGGAAGTTCCTGGGTGACCTCAGGATACCCATCAAGAGCAGTGCCCTGTAGAGCAAATCTACAGAAAGAAGTCTCTAATGGGAACAACATCGCTGGCAGGTTTTGACGGTTGGTAGCTTTGGAGGCTGGAAGCAGCTGCAGAGATCCAGTCCTTTATGCAACCAAAATGTAGTCTTGGAATCTGTACCAGGAGTTATTTTCTCAGCCTGCAGCCACAGGTCAAATACTGGAGGATGGAGCCATGGGAGCCCTGCTTGTCTCTCTCTCTCTCTCTCTCTCTCTCTCTCTCTNTTTTTTTTTTTTTTTTTTTTTTTTTTTTTTTTTTTTTTTTGCTATTTCTTAGAGTTACAAGGCAACGAGAA